TTGTGTTCGTGTGTGTGTGTGTGTGTGTGTGTGTGCTCGAGAGATGCAGATAGTGGAAAAAGGGTATACCTGGCGTGAACTCCGATCGATAAGGGAGTTGCCCCCAGTTCGGTCCGACTGGCAGTCTCGAGTAGTGAGTAGTGCTAAATGAGTAGCGTCGTCGAGATGCACAGCAATCGCACCGTGACACGAGCTGATTCGGTTGATGTCACGCTTGACCGACCTGCCCGACTGTCTGGTGGATCGGTGAGGTGGTCTCAATGGGCTGGGCTCGAGTCCTGTGGGCTGAAGTGGGGTGGGGGATGAGGGGATAGACTAGCGCAGCGAACTTGCCTCGACTCCCGAGGCTTGTCGGAGTGATTTGGGGCAAAAATTGTACCAACGCACTTTTGCTTGTCCCTCAACCAACCATTGAACGCCCCAAAAACAAAAACTCCACCTACCTGCTGCATTTTGGGCCAAGATGAAAATGGCGGTGAACTTGTCAGAGTGGGCGGCGGTACCACTTTTCACATGAACTGATGACCTGTCGGGCCAGTGGGCTGATTTGATTGGCTTGGCTGGGGCCGATCGGCGGCGCACGAGGGAGCGGGAGTGCAGGCGAATCGGATCGTGCTGACAAATGGCCGATTGGCAGGACGACACGCACTACTCACCAACTACTCATGCCTGGTCTGACGGCCGGCATGTGTGCATGCGAGTGTCTGTCTCATCCGGAGCCATCTGTGCGGCCGTCGAGTGTTGGTGTGTTTGAAGGAGTCGGTTCTTTTCCCTTTCTCCCTTCCTCCCTCCCTCCACTCGGCCACGACTAGCAGACACGCCGACCGAAGTGACTAACACTTGCACGTCGACGTCGACACGGCAGGCACGGCACGGCAACACGCTGTTTGGCCGACCTCCGGCAGCAGCACTCGCCTCGAGCCAGTCGAGGGTGGGGTCGGCGCCGGGCAGCAGACAGACGCACTGCTGTGCCGTCTCCGAGGGCAACGGAGCTGCGGTGATTGGCTGCTGCGCCGGCCGCCACCCCGCGGCACACAGCAGACAGCGGACTGGAAGTCGACACCGCCATGCACACGCCTACATTCGTCGGTGGGGCTCGTCACCGGAACCGACCGACGACACACTGGCACAGCCACACCGACGCTCTCTCTCTCTCTCTTGCCCGGTGTGTTTATTTAGGCGTGTGTAGCTGTGTGTCCGTCTGGTGGGGTTGTGTCGTCGCCCGAGTGCTCTGTACCGACTGGCACGCGGAGGGAGGTCGGCGTGGTTGCCTGGCCGAAAAGAGTGAGTGACGTGTGTGCCGGTGTTGTGTGTCTCTTTTCCCCGTGCGGCCCGGCTACCGATTCGGAGCGCTTCTGCGTGCCGACGGGCCGGCGGCTTTGGCGGACGCCTTTCAAGCTCTGCTTGTCGCTGTCCCATCCGACGCATCCTCTCTGCCTGTGCGTGTGTGTCGCAGTGCGCCGGTGCCGGTGCCGGTGTCGGTGCCGGTGCGAGACAGGTCGAGGCTTGAGCCAGCCAACCCCTTTGCGGGCAAGTCGCGGAGAGTTTTGACGGCGTCGATTCGGTCAAACTGGCCAATCAGGAAACACGAGGTGTCGGGAGCCTCTGGCGCACCCA